CACTCCTAAATTCATCTCAGGAAAGATCTCTGTGTTTAGCATTGTTAACGTTATGCTTCACAGCCTGACCGTGTCACCTGCCACAGACCATCTCTTCAGCTCTTGCCAGTAAAGGCAGGAGCAAGAATGTCTCCAAAACATAGTTTTGCTCCTGGACATATATTCACGTAGTGATTTTACACAGCAAACTGTTGCCCTGGACAAGCCCAGATAATTTGAGCTATTATGCATTAACAGCCCTTATGGAGATTAGGGTCTGATCCTAATCAAAGCAGCTAAGTCTGTTCTCGGGTATTCATGTCAGCAAGCAGCATGACTCTTTTAACCTAATGCATATTTCCTAATGCTTATTCAAGATATTGCTCACAGCAAATCAAGACAATTTTTGTTATTCCCGAGCTGTATTCTGACACTGATCCAGAAGCAGTAAAAGGAAGTTTCAGAGCATAAAGGTACATTTACCTTCTTCAGGGAATCCAAGAAGCAGTCACACTTTGCCAGCTGAAGTCAACTGCTGTGGCATTCTTTAATATTGATTTTCTTGCAGCATGTCTGTAGGGCGTCAGATTTTTGGTTGCTTTTTTTCCCCCCCCCCTCCCTAAGACCACCAATCAACTCTTCATCCAGAATACAAACCCATTCTTTCACCAAAAAAATACTGACTTCCCCAATCCACTACTGTACTCCTCTTGGAGGAAGCTGCGTTAAAGACCACAGCAATTTTGTCCTTCAGCAAGAGATCTGGTACAAATAGCAGAAGAAGGATGTGGTGAGGCAAAGGTAGTCAGTGAGAATGCAAAATCTCAAGCTGGAACCAGATGATGGGACACCTCAGTTTAGAAATCTTGCCCTCACAGAACAGTTGAGATGTCTTAACTCTTGGGATTGTAGTTGTTTTCATCAAAAGATGCTGGAATGTTTTCACAAAGGAAACCAATAGTGTTCTGAATATCTTCCCTCTCCATTCTCCTTCCGATGAAGAGACTTCTATAAACAGGACATACGAAAGACTTTGGCCACCTCTAAACGGTTTCAGGAGGATTAGTTAAAACCTCTAGTAACAGCAGCCAGGAAGAGATCACACCTGGCACATCCAGAACACGTGGGTGTATGTTTAATGACTACATACAAAACTATCACACACAAAGGAAATGACTAATCCATTCTTCACCCAAAAGTCCAAAAGCACACGACAGAGATCGCAACAGGAGCAGCATCTGCAAGAACTCATTTGCTCAGCAAATCTCCCTCCCCACAAACATGTAAGGTTCTTTCTCAAAACTATGATCCTTAAGATACACTGAGGAGTCCTACCAGACTTCCCTACTGCAGCATAGCGACCTGTGGGGAGGAACTGAGTGGCCAACCAACACACACAACGCCACACAATGATGAAGGGAAACCAACTTGTCAAATTGGAGATGCTTACACTGCCCGATTAGCAACCAGGTCTATGAACAATTGGGTCACCTTCAGTTCATGCCAGCAATGTGTTCAGATCCCAGATACTGTGCCATCTTTGCTTGTGCCCTGAGCTATGTTTCTCAGGAAAGACTCATTATGTGTTATGCATAATGCAAAAAAAGAGAATAACCCATGGATAATTGGATTGGAATCCATTAGCTGCCAGCCAGAGGGGAATTTCTTTCCATGGGTTTCTTCTACTCATGCCCACGTTTCAGAGTTTATTGTTTTAAATGTCACACTGTAGAACAAATGACTTAGAAGGTTAAAGACCTATTGAAATTTTCTGAGTGTATGTTTCACAGCTGTTGCCTCCTTTGGGTTGCCGGCTAAAAGAACTGCTTGAATCCGAGCAGTAACCAACAGATCACATCTGGATAATCATGTTCCAGTTGAACAGACAGCAGCCAAAACACATTTGCAGTTATACACCATGAATCTTTATAGCTTACTTATCTGTATACATGTAGCCATTATTGCCATCCTGTTCTCTACTCAGGATAAAATGAAAAGACTTCATTACCAAAGATAAATAGTCTATTGCTAAAACCAAACATTGGGCCAGATCCTCAGCTGCACCCAGCTGGGGTTGGGGAAGGGAGGAGGGAAATGGGAACCAAAGAGGAGCCAATAACAGCTCATCAATCCTGGAGCTGGTTCCATGCCAATCCCAGCATCGTTTAGAGAAGGCTATAGGCTTCTCTAAGTTAGGCCAGCTGGCTACGGCCCTGAGGGGACCACCTGCCAACAGGGCTTGCCGAAGCACAGTGTGTGCCTGCTAGAAAACTTTGCCACTCTTCTTCAAGGATTGTTAGAGAGAGGGTGTCACAGAGTCACGGACGTCAGAGTTCCAAGCTCCCAACATCAAAGCAAACCCCATCTGGGAACTGCAGCTGTTCTGCCGGGCAACAGAGATGCAGCCTGAAATCAGCGTTTGTATCTAGACCCACAGAGTTGGTCCTATTCATACTCCATTACAAGTGTGCAAATATCATAATTGTACAGAATTTTCTGAGTTTTCTACTCAGAATAACTCCATGATCTGACTGTTCTTGCCATAATTCTGAATGTTCACACTGATACAACAGTTCTCCTCCCAAGAGAAAGATTAACATACCAAAAAGTTGGAGTAGTCAGGGGCTTGGTTAGGAAGCATTCTTTGATCTTCCACAATTAAATAAAAAAAAAGGTTTAATTATTCAAATGCTATTTATAACACATACAATGGGATGCTAGCTGGCAAACGCATTTATGTACTTTAGATCCTCGAGATAACTAGAAAGTCAGTATTTTTGCTTGCCACACACCACACACAGGCAAATGACCTGCCAATAGAAAATACTTAACAGGCTCATATTACTCTGTATTTATGGGGAACATTATTTATTAGTATGGATTTTGCTTTTAATTATGCAGAAGTACTAGAAGAGAACAAACCAGACACAATTCTCCTGCAAAAATGTCTGTCAGCCATCTCATTTTAGAGTTTTACTACTTCTGTGTCTCACACCTTTACCAGCATACTCCCATTTAACATTTAAAATCCTGTTTACCACTGAAACCTGTGCCTGTCATGTTAAACTAAATAAGATAGCTTTCCTAATGGTTAAGCATGCAAGACATCGACCATTTACAAGCAGTGTGCATGCAAACTAGTTAGGTGGCAGAGCCAGGGAGAGGGAAGCAGCGACTGCATACATTGTACCTGAAAATCTGGTCCCTTGTCTAGATGGAGTCTCACAGACAACTCAGTGCTTCCTAAATTGCAACAAGATACTACTTGGGATTTTACTACAGGTAGGAGGACAAGCCATGGATCACAGTCACATTTTGTTACCTGAAGCACAAAAAGAATAAAGTGTGTTGTTGCCTGAGGGCATTTAGAAATACACCATTGCAATATAGGAAAAGAGTGACCACAGCAAACGTCCCTTCCTCTGCAGTATGTACAGGAAACGCACTGAGACTGTTCCCTGCAAAAGTAAACGTTGTCTTGTTTTGAATAAAGAGTAGAAATTAAACTCTCAGAGCTCAGAAATTTCTTCATTCAGCTGGCAAAACAAACACTTTTCCCCAATAAAACCCATGTTTAAACCAGAAGAAATAAACTATTCTGTTAAAAACAAACAGAGTAAACATATTTAAAACACATTAGTAGTTCAAGTTGCAGAAAATCCATAAGGGAAAAAATGTTTGGTGACAATTTGGCAAGTCAGACTCTGAAAGTTTCCATTCTGAAAGTGTAGGACCGATTACTACTACTTATTTATTTTGCAACAACCCACATAGTACAGCCCAGTTTCACACTGTACAATAACCATCCTATTGCTAGCCTAGTGAGAAAGCAAGCACAGATTCTGATCTATCCCTTGTCAGGGGAAATTCCAAGAAGCCCGGCTGCAATCGGTTTCCCCATCAGCATAATTTTTCAGTAAAAAGTGTAGACATTTTCTTGTGTGCTACTAATGCTAGATCCTCTGTGTTTTCCATCCACCAAAACCCATCTGCATGGCAGCAATTAAAATGCCAGCATCCTGGTCACAACATGTTCCTTAGGCTGCCAGCAGAGAAGTTGCACAAGTATTATTAGAGAGATATTTGCAGGAGAAATGCTAGTATAGATATGCTAGCTGAGACCAAATTTAGTTTGTTACAGGCACAGGGAAAGGCTTCTCAGCCCGCTAGTGTTGAACGTGTTTTACAGTCAGCATTAATTTAAGCAAGATGAACATGATGATAAATATTTGACTATTCCTTCCTACTATTTACAGAAAAAATCCTCTAAATGAAGGGATCAGATAAGAGTAACACAGAGAAAAGTATTTTGTCACATGCCAGTGCATCTTAAAACCATCTCTAAGTTTAGAATTGACTACTATGGAACCATAGGAAAGTGGTCTTCTGGGTCTATTAGTAAAAACTGTTTAGGAGTCTCCAAATGTTACATGCCCTTTTCTTGTACCTTCAAGGGACTTCAAAAGGCACAGTCAGCCCAATTGGTATTTCATTTCTTAAAAATAAGATCTGCGAGCTGCCACAACTTTTGCATTACCAATAAGTTTAAGTTTAGCTTGTGTAGTTCAGATAGAGACTGGAAAGCCAGAACCTATCCTCTAGGAAAGAAATGGGGTTGCATTTATTAAAAAGTACTTTCTCTACTCTGTAGAGACAAAAGCTTGAACTACTTACTTCCTCTCTCTCTCTCTCACACACACAGCTGCATTCAAAGTTTTCTCAAATGAAAGCTGTACCTTTCTAGAAGCAGTTTAATGCTTGTGACCTTTGATTCTCCAAAACTGTCTTCTAGTGATTGCACTGGCATTATTCCCATTCTTTTTTTTTGGTCTCCTCAATTGCCCTGTTAACAATTAAGCAGTTTGTTTTATGCTCTAAAAACATGAAACAATCTGCAATGCAGAAAACTTGCAGGGAAAAAAAAAAAGGATTAAAAGGCATGCCTTTTGCCTCGCGTTTTTCTTTCCTCTTCCTAAAGACTAACCTGGTAAGATAGATAGTAAAATGAAATGGCTACTCACAATATGTTTGTCTGGGGTGGGATATCAGGGATTGTTTCCAACATCAGATGCATGCATCTTACTGTAGTCCTGAAGCACAAGCAGCGACTAGGACAGGAGCAGGAGAAACTAGGCAAGAGGAAAAAACACAAAAAGCCTAGAAGAGCTGAAGCTTTGATGAGCATGGTGTTTGCTGGAGTGTATTTTCCTCAGTTCTGAACTGCAGGGAGCTGACACACAAAAAAAGTTTCCCAGCCCTGAGGTCCAGGAGGAGGGGACTCATCAGCATGTGTTTGCAATTAAATTAAGGCACTTTGACAGTCCAGCCACCCACCCTCTCTGCCATTATGTACATCACTGAAGATCAGACTGCTCCCTACCTCCTTTAGTTGTGGTGTTTAAGTACAAATGCTTAATTCTGACTTATTCTTGTCTCATCTCTTACTATGAGCAGCAAATTAACTCTTTACCTTCTCCTTGGGCACATTTATCTAAAAGCATACAAAACGTACCCGTGCCTACAGTGCTGTGCTGGAACTCAGAACGTCTGGGTACAAATTGTGGACAATTTTGGGAAGCCAATATTTTTACCCTAGCACACTCCTTGCACACTAAGAATAGCATCCCATCTAAAAGCCTCTGTCAAACATATCAGACAGCATGACTTCTAGGATAGAGATTGCCTCTTATTATGTGCATGCCTAACATCTGGCAAAATAAGTTTCCAACCATAGATGGAAACTCCGAGTGCAACAGATAAGTGATTTTTAAAGGGAGATGGCTAAACAGAGATAAACAACCTGCAGATAAATAAGACAAAAACTGATTGTAGGCATTGGCAGAATGCAAACAGAGTAGAAGTTAATTCATTTCAAGGACATTCCAACTAATACAATTTTTTTTCTTTAAACAAGGCTGTCACGTTTAAAAACAATTTAGTTTTTAGAAAAATTAAAAGCAGTTGAGAGGTAAAGGAGGAAAACAATGGAACTGAGTTTGAAATGCAGCAATTCACATAGGAAATGCAGACCTCAACCTCTATCTTTCAGTGGGCAACAAAAAATTGAGATGCAAAAGGGAAGACATGTTTCCAACTGAATTAATTGTCTTTTATAATGATAAAGAAGCTTTCAGTGAAATAACTTGTCTCAAAGTTTTTAGTTATCACTAGACAAGATCATAAATGTGTGGTTTTAGCACACGCATAAAATATCAAGGCTCATTAGGATATATGGCTACTTCTGGAATTCCAGACATGGCAACATTCCACGCTACCTGGAGAATCAACCCAAAGTTTCCTCCAAATCTGCAGTCTGCTCTATATTGTAAACTGTAAGGCACAATTCCTGTGACAAAATAGCAATTAGCCAGAGTAACATTTAAACCTCCAAAATACAGAGACACTAGGAAATAAGTTGAGGAGTTCCAGTCATAAGATATTTTCTCAACAGCCGGTTGCTTTGAATGCTACATTCCTACAAACACCAGAATGAATTACTGGAACGTTTACCTTTCATCCTATATTTTCTTGATTTTGTTCTCTTTCCCCTCAGCTTGTTATTTAAGTATTGGGAGGAGAGGGTTGGAGCTTTTTTGCCTTCTAAGTGGTTATTCTTGCCAGTGCCCCAGTCTTAATAACCTTGTAAATCAAACTTAGATAATACATTCCAGAATATATTAATAACATTTATCTCTCTCTCTCTCTCTCCTCATCCTCACCGAGAAATCTGCCAGGTATTTAGATTTTGGTGACACATAAGACATTGGGCAAATGAACATTATACAGTAATTGATGTCTTGCACCCAATCACTTACAAATTCTTGAGTAGCAGTCACGTCATAGATGGTAAAAGTAATTTTTTTCTAGCCAGAAAAAGGTCACATTATACAGCAGGTTTTCTTACCCTCAAGCAATCTTTCGTCTGTTTGCCTAACTTTCAAAGTGGTGCCAGTGCAGGTTTGTCGGAGCTCCTCCAGCCTCCCTCTGCAGACACAACCCTTGGTTGGGAGCACAGTGTCCTCTAGTGGCCACTCACCCTACCCCCTTATGACTGCAAATTGTGAAAGGCTAAAGTACCTGCTTCATTCAGCCTTTATATAAACAATCTAAGGGCAGCCCAGAGCAGCTCGCTCCAGGTAAGTGACAGCTTCTCACTCCAATTTGAGAAGTGCAGTTCACTCCTGTATGCGCGTTAAAAAAGACAACGTAGATTTTGACTTAAGTCATACAGACTTTGCTGGTATATTTTTCCCCAGTCTGACTGTTCCCCATATCAACTCTTTCCAAAGCATAGTGAACTTTGTTCAAAGACAGAGTAACAGAACTTCTTAAAAGCCCCTCCCTATGGAAAAGTGCTAGGAAAAACAAACAAAAACACCCTCTTCAAATCATTTTGCTTTAGCATTTACGCAGTTTGTCAACACCTTCCCAAGCACATCTAGCCAGTTTACAAATACAACACTCCTTCCCTCTGCCCCCATTACCCCTTGATGCATAAAACCTGAGCTCTAAACCAACCATCAGCAAAAAAGCATTCCCTCCAAGGTTTATTTATTTTGTTAACAGGAGAGCTAGACGAGACATCAGTCATGTTTCTACACATACTTTCTCTGGAACCTTCACTTAGGGCCTGGTTGTGCAGTTGGTGGTAGATTCTGGCAGGTCTGATGGGTATCTACTTACTATTTTGTGGCATTTGGATCATTAGCAAGCCACACCACAGGGAATAATTTGTGTACAAAAAAACAAAGTTCTGCAACCTATATATTTACTTAAAAGCATATCTTCACTTAGTTGAAAAACATCTTTTCCATCCTGCTCTTCTCCTCTATTTGACAAACGGGATGTTTGTGAGATGTTATGAAGCACGAACGATCGCACTTCCTTTTCACCTGCATTAATTTATCTTATTTTCCATCAACACGACAAATTGTTTAAAAATAAGCGTGCAGCTCTAAATAAGCAGCAGAAGTTAGCAGCTCAGTGACAGGAATCAAAGTTAATGCTTGTGTCCTGTGCTTAAACGTTTCCAGCCTCTTCCAGAAAGGCTTTTTGACACTGGTAGAATACGAAGGTTTTTCCTCCTTTTACTCTCCTTTGTTTTATTTTTAAATATCACTTCTGCCTCAGTAGAACAATTTCACTGAGTATGTCCTCTGAAGAGTTAATCATTACTTTCCAGGGAACTGTGACATGGTACATTTTACTCGATAGCTTTTTCTCAGCAGAAGAGTTCAGTTCAACGCATTTGAGTCATCAGCATCTTCCAACACCTTAAGGTTTCACCTCTCTCATCTTGGCTTCAAGTCACACAGATGTGGATTGCATTTAAACTAGACACATTATAAAACCTTCATTAATGAAGAGCTTTGAAGTGAACATAAACATCACTCATCTTACATATTTCGTTTACTTGATAGCATTGGTATAACGTATTCATAGCTTTCCAAAGCAGAAAAGTATTTTTTCTAGCAAGCATTGCAGGTAGAAAGCATTACTACTACACTAGTCTCATTTTATAGCTAGGAAGAGGACAGCTATCATACATGCAGATGACAGGAAGAAATATAGTCTATAGATAACCATCCTACAGATTAAAGGTTAACAGATGTACTTAATTAGCAACAGCTATATTTACTATTATGATTACTTTGCTATTACAGCTGAAGCCAAAACAAAATTACTCTCAGTACGAGTGAAATGGAAGCAGTGAACGTCAGTTCTTAAAATCTGCATTAATTAAGCACTGAAATAGACCACTGGAGACACGAGGAGAGTTGCAGAAATAGTAGTAATTCAGAATGGATTGATTAAACTCCTGTCATGTTTGGTTTAGGTGATCCGGCCTTGAAGAAGAAAAATGGACTAAATGACCTCTTGGTATCTCTACTGTCTGCAAGTCTAACAGCCAAGTGAATTCCCTCTAACTTTTCCGATATATTAAACTTAAGTGAGTGCTGTGTGCGCTAATTCCAAAACATATCTTGCACAACTCCATTGCATAAAGGTTTAGAAGTCATTAACTAAGCAGGTTTGGTTTTTTTCCCCCCGATCGTTTTAAGAGATTATATTCTGAGGAGTTCCTCTACAACTATACACCAGCCTCATACTATTAAATGCTTTTTCTAGTGTCTTAACCTTCACTTATGGAAATAAGTACTTATCTACAAAGCTTATCTAATCACAACATGATGCAAAGCCATGTTAAGAAGGCTAAAAAGTCTTTACTGAATTTATTGATACAGAAACACTCATTTAATAAAGTTTTTAAATCGCATAACATTTTTGCATGCCTCAAGCCAATTTTACTATAACTTCTATACATAGATATTTCAACTTACACACTGATGATTAAAGCAGTTTGAAGTTTGTTTCTTTTTGCACATTTACTGTGCTATCGAAACCTAGAATGGAGTCACATACAATTAAAATGAAGACTTCTTAGAATATGAAGAAAAACCCACACACAGTAAAAGCAGGGAAAATTCCTAGAGAGCTTACAGATAGACTATACGAAAACAATTATGCTACAATTACTCTACTAAAGACGCATACAAAACTACAGTGCAAATGCTTGTGCACAGGGAAAATATTTACAGTTCCCCTTCATTTACAGACTATAGGCAATACTATTTCACAATTATATTACACATAAAATTTCTACTCTGGGTTGGTTTGGATCTGTGTGTTTTTTTTTTTTTTTTTGGACAAGAGGACAATCTGACAACTTAGAACATAAATTGCCTGTATATATATATTTATTCAACCTTATCCAGGAAAAATAGCAGTATTTTATGCATTTTATAGAGTGCTACAAAAATCTAGCAAATGTAATAAAAAAAGGCAGATCTGGTGAAAAATCTGATAAAATACCTTTTATAAGTATGAGGAGAGGGAAGGAAGAATCAAACATGGCTAAATGAAAGACACTCGCCTTTAATTAAGTCAGTTTTAATAGAAAGTCAATGAGGTTTATTCATATAAACCTCAACTTTAATGGTAATTTTTAAAAGTAACTTCTTTATGACATCTATAAAAAGTTTTGCGATTCAACTAAAGGATGACCTGATAGGCTAATGTAGGAGGCACCCCATACTACGCAAGAGCATGGAAATTGTGCCATGATATAGAAAGGCACATTCCTAGCATGACAGCTATTAAGCAGAAATAGCTAACAAATCTAGAAATAACAGCCTTTGGGGAAGCACAAAGAAATACTACATATAGATTCTATTAGGCCTCCATTTACTACCATATTCAGGATATTCATTTGTAGAAAAAGAAATTCATTGTAGTTGCCACAGTTATGAAATGGCTACTTGTAAATCTACAGAAAACTATCAGCTCAGCGGCCACAAAACTGCCCCATTTAAAATACAGAAATGGAAATCGAAGGTAGGAAGATAGCTTGGGGGTTCCATTTAGACCAGAAGAGGAGAATTAAGACACCAGAGGCAAGATACAGCCTATGACTATTGCCTATTATAGGACACTAGCCACATGACACTTTGTGTATTATCTGAGAATATTCTCAAAGATACACAAAAAGCCTACTAAGCAAGGAAGAATTCTCCACCTCGGGCTTAGATGCACAGGAGTTATCTATTTAGCTTCAAAGCTATGTCAGAACTTTAAAACACTACTCATCATTAATGCAAATGTGCAACTCAATGCCATTTACCGAATACCCAGCATGTTTTTGGCAAGACAGTCTTCATTTCACTCTTCAGAAACCACATAGCATAAAAAATATATATATAAATATATATCAAAATGATACCAACTTAAGTGTTTCTGATGGGGCAATACTTTCTTAACACAGCTGTAGTACCTACTGAGAGAATTTTGTTTTCTTCCAGCTGTAAGGGTACTCCACACAAGCACAAGTTCATGGGTTTCTTTCCAGCCTCTGCTAATTTACATAAGTTTTTCAGACAGGTGGAACTAAGTAAACTCACCCTTCCAAACATGAAGTCTCTTTCCATCACTACAGGAAGACTTGGGAATAGACTAGAATTCACATTCACAAAACTGCAGAGTGCAAAGTCCTTCTATACAAACCAGTTAGAGCAACCGCTTAATTGCTGCAGGTATAAAATAAACTACCAAGACCTCATTCCACCTGTTGTGCGCGGGCTAGGTGTACTCAAGTTGCATTCTAGTTGCCTTACTCCAGCAGAGGCCCAGAGAGAGACAACCTAAGAACTGCATCAGTAGCACAACCACTAAATTTGGCTCTCTAGACTGTTTCCAGTTTCTACATACCCAAACAAAAAGTTTGGCTGATTTCCCACAGTACAAGCCACTCTGTCCAGGCTAGCTCTCTGCAAACCACTGTGTTCAACCCAATCGACATAAGCTGTCTTATACAACAGCAAAGTCTGCAGAGTTTGCTTCTGCAGTTTTCACAAGCTCACTGCTACACACCTCCTTGTCTGCCCTTTTCCCCATTCAAAATTACTCTGTAAACATTTCCAGAGACAACAGTCACAAATCTAACTACCCTAGCATCCTGTCAAAGCCAGCTAAGCAGCTTCGCAGTCCTTTGCCTTGTTCTTTTTACGAAATAGAAAAAAAAACCCACGTCTCATATTAGACTGCATTTCACTAAAATAGACGTTTCCCATGAAGAAAATCAATGCTTTGTAAGACTTTTCTACCTTTTACTAAAAATATATAGTTTTTAAGCAAAACTGAGACCAACCAAAGGGGAGCTGATGCTTTCCTTCTGCATTCAAAACCTGGATGCCCCAAGGGTTAACGCCAAAAACTTTTCTTTCATGTTTGTAAAAGTTGTGCTTTTTCAGATTGCTGGAAGAAACAAGATTTGCCAGATCAGTTTTTACTAATAATCTTCATCCTCCATTAAACACACACCAGTATAAACCCAAGGCAGGTTTAGTGGGAGAGAGCATGGACAAAGGTCTTTGGGGAGCTGCTTAAGAATATTTCAAAACTGCAATTTGGTAGAGCAGCCATGAGATTTCAGAACATCTCTGTGCAGTTAGGTTCAGGGAATTAAACCTTCCTTTCTGTAAGCAGCCGAGCATTTCACCAACTTGCTTCCTAAGGAAATCCTGCTGTAGGATAAAACTATAGCACACGACCAAGAAGAAAGAGGAAACTTAAAAAAGCTATTACGTTTAAGTATACAGCAGCCACATTCCCCAGCCAGCCTACTGCCTTGTGTGGTCATATTAGCAGGCAAGCAAGTGGCATACATTTGTCAAGCCCTAAGTAGTACTCTATTTTCTGCCTACTTCCCACTTTCTAGAAGAAGGAAATTACTTCTCTCTGTAATAAAGCAGGTAATATTTCAAGGGATCAGGCAGAGGCAGACTCAAGACCTTTTCTCTCAGAAAGTTTACAGGGGGATCCGGCTTTAGTTCAGAGGGTTTAGTTTCTTCCTCTTCTCGTCTCTCATCCTCGAGCTCTTCACTGTTGTTTTCATCTGAAGGGTTGGAGATACGACTAGCGAAGACCTCTTTGTCCAAGAAAACAATAGTTTCCATGCGACGACGACGCACGCGTCTTCGTTTAAACCTTGGGGGGTTCTTCAACCCGTTTCCATTTTTGCTCAGCGTTTCTTGATGTATTATTTTTTTAATGGTTCCTCTGATGGCTATGCGAGCCAGATCCTGGAGGCTGCGAACAGCCACTGGGGCTAGAACAAAATAAAAACCATAAACAGATATTGAGGAAGAAAAAACACCCCAGGAACACTCACAGAAAAGTTATATTCACTCAAGTTAAATCAGGCCACTTGAATTCCCTGCTGCAATTACAAAAATGGCTCTATTCAATTCCTGTCAGTTCCAATAAACTGTATTGTAGCTTCCCAAACAAAATTTAATTACCCATTTCCCTCATTAACTGAAGAAAAAGAATGGGATGAAAGAAGTTTCATATTTTGATGTCAAGTCCTCACAATTATTTTAAGATACACGCGCGTCTTAAAGACTGTAAGGCTTAGTCACTGAAACTGACTGTTTAATAACATAGACGAAGGACATTTTCCCATTGCAGATTAAATAGACTTCAAGTCTATTTAACTCTTCCATACAATGGCTTTCCTTTCAGAAAGATACTGCTGCTTCGCCAAGTTCTCCGTTTATAAAACATGAGTAACACTTTTGCTCTGCAAAACTGCTGCCACTTTGGGCAAAGACTGGCTGGAAACCATTTGGTAAAAGTAATTACAGAAGCACAGAATAAGTTATTGTATTAAAAAGAAACAACTCCCATATAAATGGCTTGGAAGACTTCTATCTTCTGCACGCTGCCAGGACACAAATGTACAACACACATCTCATGCAACAAAGAAAAAGACATACTGATGCACACACATCCATAAACTAAGATGAATTAAAACTGAAACAAAACCTTTCCTCTACTGAAGAAGAGGTATCTTCCTGATCTGAACAAAGGAATTGGGAGAGTGAAACACAATACCCGCAGGCCTCACTACGGCAGACACCATACAAAATATGCTCAAGCGTGCACTTAAAGGGCTTCATAGTAACGTGCAGACTGCTGAGCTGCTTTCTGTCATGCAGAAACACCTTTCCAGAATAAGAGCAAAGCCCAACTAATCTCTTTATGGAAGCATTTCTGTCTTCACGTGTCCTTAAGAGGACTCTCCACACTAAAATCTTAATCTAAAGATTGAGGCCACTGGGTACAACCTGCACTTGAACCAGCTAACCAAAAACCGCATAGCTTAGGTCCTTAAAGTGTTTCAGGTTCAGGAAAATTCTGGGTGGGCAGTGAATGCAGATGCAACGTTATGTTCACAGGTACAGTCTGCGCATTTTCCATCTGCGATACGCTCTCATCATGGCACAGTAACCGAGAGCCAGGATAGTATGTGGTTCAGGGTTTAAACAGATGCCTGCATATACAAAAACCACGACCAAGTATCTCAAAGCTTCCGTACAATTTCACAAATCATTGTTATGCGATTCTGATTCTTGCACCAGGCCTCCTCAGACACCCTCAAAAATAGATCAAAAACGAGACTATTAGGACAACTGTTCAAAGGAGGAAGGAGCTGGAGTAATTTTCATAAAAAAGAAAGGATTCATAGGGATGTTATGCCTGA